ACGTATTTCACATGCGAGTGGCGCACACAAGCGAGCGGCGCAGTCCAAAACATATAGTAAATGCGATAAATTACAACTTGATATCTCAACAACGGTGGTCTATATAGGATTTCCTAATAGCTTGATGTTTTTCAGGTGGTACCTAGCCTCTCCAATGAGTTTTGAAATTATCCATAATATAGTGGTTGCGATATATATATTTATATTTTTAGTAACGTAATTTGCGGTAATTTTCGAAATGATGATTGTATAGCCTTCTGCTTCACGTAAGACTGATATATAGTGCTAATAAGTCTTATCAATTGCCATTGAATGACAATGAAATCAAATAAAAACGTGGTTGTTGAGATATGAACGAAGAAAATATTGCGTTTATAACTGCGTCGCTCGCTTGTGAAACACGTTTAATACCATCATAACCATGCTTCCCATGTCCTAGAGGGCCCAAATAGCGAAACCTGCATGGCAGCTATGCACTTTGTGATTGATGTATAGATTATTGCCGTTTTATATTACGATAATACGAGGAAGCCAACTAGGTAACCTTTTCTTGGGCAATTGAAATGTATTATTAGTAGTGGTTCTATTGAAAATCTAAAATGGCTCATCCTATCACAAGACATATTGAAATATTAAATACATTATCACATTACTATCCCGAAGATAATAAGTATCATGAGAAGCTGCACACTCACTGGACAATATCTAGGACCGAACACTGTAGAGAAATACCCCAATAGGGATTTGAAGAGGCAAGCATAATGCGGACGAAGAAAGGTAAACAGGCAAACCGCCTACTGGGCCTTCGAAACCTTGGCTTTGTTTTCCCTCCGGCGCTTCAGCGCATCTGGAGTGTACTCGGTGTCAAGGACATAATCCCACCACCGGAAGCTGCTGGAATAGTTGCCGATGAACTTCTCATGGTGGAGATCGTGGTGATCGGCACCAGCCCAGAAGGGAAGGAAGTGGTGAAGACTCCATGGGAATTCATAACCGCTGTGAGCATCAATGGCCTGGAACAAGCGCAAGACGATCCAGATGTACATGGTAAGAATGTGCAGTTCACCTGTCATCGCACACCAAACGATCGGGCACCCGATAGTTCCGAAGCCCAAGATCATCACCTCAATCGGTGAGGCATATTCAGCAGCCAAGCCGAAGGGGGCCGAGTACTGGTGGTGGATCTTGTGAATGGCCTTGTAGAGGGGACCCCAATGAAGAGCACGGTGGGAGAAGTAATGCCAGGTATCCTCCATCACAAAGAAGATTGCAATCTGATATGCCATGGTCCAAAGGGTAGGGAATGGGATCGAAGTTGAGAGTCCACAGAATTGTGCCAAGGGGTGGAAGAGCCTAGCATGTATGTTAGACCCTCGAAAATGGCAGAATTTGGAATGAGATTCAAGTCTTACCAGATCTGGGGTAGTTCGACAGTGAAATGACTCAAGAGCACGAATTTGGCGCAATCCCACTGTTCCCGTAGCGATGGGATCTTGTTCTGCATAGTATTAGAGGTGACTGGATGAACTGAAAGGTGCTACTTACACCCTGAATCTTGTAGCGGTTGAACATGCCCAATGTGTCGATGAAAATCCAAGGTAGCGAGCGACCGAAGTAAACCAGTTCATGCATGACGAATGACATGATTCCAGTGGCCAGGACATCGTTCTGCATCCAAGCATACCAGGCTGCCCACAACCTCTCTGCTACATTCAGGTCGGCATTGTACTTGCCAATCTCCTCGAATTGGCCCCAGTATGTCCCTGAGGACAAGACCGTTGAATTCCTATATGGGATGTTAGATACTATGACACGTAAAGGACATAATCACATCGTACATTGCAAAGGTTGTTGTTCTCTTCTTTTCAGCAAGTAAGTAGGAAAAGTAGAAATCAGGAAGTCAGAAGTTAGAAAGAAGAAAAAAGAATAAAAGGGAAGATAGATGCTGTGAAACCAAAGTCCGAGTGATTCTATCAATGGTTATAAAGAAAAAAGGGATAAGATCAAGAAGATCAAGGACAGTCCAATCCCGACGTGGCGAGATCAACTTTTTTTTTTCCCCCTGAACGTAGGGGTAAGGCCACTGGGAAGCCGATCCCCGAGATCACCCCACCTGCATGAAATCAGGTAATGCGGATTTCGCTGGTTTTTGTTTGGTTGAAAGAACATCCCGGTGACTCCAGCGAAAATCCAGACCCTTTACTAAAGACCATTTCTATATATTATAGTACATCTTACGATCATTTTCTTTTTTTGATTGTCTTCAAAGTAAATGAAGTAAATGGGAAGTAAATTACTTTCTTTGCGTGTCTACAATATGACCCCGTGACCCAGTATGTTCTCTACCGTGTAGGCTCAAGCACAGTTTGCACAGTTTGCACAGTTTGCACATATTTGCCTATATATTTTGCATTGTTTGCATTATTTACACTCTTCTACCATGACGACATTTCTTCTGTAGTCTCTACAATACATATCCATACCTCCCTAGGTACTATGGTCAGCTCTTGAGGGTGGCTGTACCTCATATCATTGGAAGATCCTGGAATGTCTGTTATACGAGAGTGAGTGTGACTCAATTCCCGAAAAACACTGGGTACTCAAATTGTTTTTTCCCACAGAACTGTTTGTGGCGTCAACAGTCAGCTTGATCGCCTTCAGCAACAGATCTCAAGCCCACAAGGATTGGAAGCCACAGATTTATCCACCGGATCTCTTGAGTCAATTGGCCAATTGCAAGATCTCATCAACTCCATTTCGGTGACATCAAAGACCCAATCCCTTCTACCTCCCAGTCGGTTGGCAGATTTACTTTCGGGTACTTTCTCTCGCCTCCAAGTACAGACCACTCTCAGTGAAGGAACTAGTGTACAACTCTCGGATCATGTATGGATAGTGGCCGCAAAGGCTGCCATTCAGGCATCGGGATTGGTCATGAATACCCTCCTGGATCAAACACTTCAACTGCACGATGAGACATATTACTGGGGTGAGATGCTGGGATCTATCTGGTATAGCGGTCTGTATACCGTTCAGAAATCTCCAGCGCAATTCTGCCGGTGGACGAAGGATGCATGCGCCGCTCAAATCTGCCAAGAAGCCCCATCCATCACTGCCAGGTGGTCTCGATTTTACCAGATTGCCCGCCAAAGTGCCTGGAAACTCGGAGGACACTCCATACGCGCACATTTGGTATCCCCAATTAGATCATCCCGGGCAGAAATGCGACAGAAACGAGACTTGCTCCTGAAAATGAAAGACCTCCATACCAGCAGCCTGGGCCTTCTGATGGAGGGATGGCATCTTTTCGAAGCGAACGACTCCGCGAGTTTAAGCCCCGGGATTATCAACACCCAGTGGTGCGATGCAGTTCACAGAGCAGTGGTCCTAATCGAAGCCATTTTTCATCATATAGCACTTGAGCCTAGCACTCACGAATTGGAACAGGGAGTATTCGCCACTCTGGAGAGGAATATTGACGACACTGAAATGCACAAACAAGGGGAGAATCCCGTGCATAAACCTTTGGACTTGATTGAGCGACTTGTGCATGTTCTTCAAGAGAAGTTGCCAAACCATACCACTTCAGTGTCATTATTTATTCGTTGCCACGGGCGCCCTTCATGCATAGTCCGTTATTGGTTACCAGTCTCAGCCGCTCTCCTTTCAGGAAGTGCATCGATGAGATTTTTGGCCAACCGACAAGAGGAAATCATCCAGTCGATTGTTGATATTGGTTCCACCACTATCGATTTTTGGGGTAATTGGGTTGTGGAACCAATCCGAAAACTCATTGGGACGATCAGACATGACGAAAAAAGCGAGATTGCGATAATGAGCAAGAATAGCCTGCTCGCTGATCGGGCGAGTCTAGAGAGAATGGTAGTGGACTTTGTCCGCGATCGCCCGGATCTTCACCAGGGTGTGGTGGCGGATACCACTGCCATCGTTAATTCTGTTAAAGAGGGTGATTTGACTCCCGTTCTTAAAGCATATGAAAGGGACCTGCGGTCGCCATTTGTTGGAACCGTTAGAGGCGATCTCGTCCGTGCCCTTTTGATCCAGATCCAGAAGACGAAGGTCGACGTGGAAATTGCCATCAGTGGTATCGATGCTTTGCTGAAGAGCCAGGAGCTTGTATTTGGGTATGTCGGGTCTCCTTCCCCCTTTTCTTTCCTAACCATTAATATCTTTTAGATTTGTTGGGTTGACTCCTGGGATCTTGGTTTCCTTTGCAACTATGAGGTGGCTAGGTGGTCTTCTCGGCAGCCGACGAGGATTGCGAAAGGGCAAGCAGCGACATGAGCTGAGACGTGGATTGCGGTATGATGATCTCAAACTGGTGTACAACGTTTCACAAGGCTAATGCTGATACTTTACATGCAGGAATGTGGCCCGCATTTTGACTTCCTCTGCGGTTTTATCCAATGGGATTCTCGCTTACAAGGATGCTGGGCAATTGATATGCGAGGCAGAGGCTCTTCTTCAGCATGTGAAGATAATTTCTGGAAGAATGCAGTACGAAGAGTTCCGAGAAGACATCCATGATCTCTTGAATGTTCAGAATGGAGTGGACAAGCAACTTCGCGTGATCGAAAGGATGAGATGGGCGTATTTTTAATAGGTGTTGGTGGCAACAGGTATTTACACCCTATAAATACCTGTTATACTACATATCAACATACAATTAGATATTAGAAGAGGTATGTAGTCACGCAAATCATGTATACAATTGCTGTCTTCTTAGGGTTGGGAGCCCAGATTTGTATAATATTTGAGACTTTCCAGCGACATATACATAATACGCATCAATTATATCAAAGTGTATCTAACATGAATATAACATTTCTAAATTATATGCCAGTATATGCCTAAGTAGTCCAGGCAAGTTCAAGCCTTGGAGGTTGGGTGTTATCCGCCCCGGGGGCCCATGATGTTGCTTACATAACATACCGAGATCCTCCTTACCGTACCGTCATCACCTCCACTCCGTAGGTGGTGCATCGTTCTACCTCCTTTCCCATAAAACACTCCAAAATCTTTAGCTCATGTATGCTTGATTGTGGATCTTTGCTTGAAGTCTACAAACCTTTCATATTCCTGCCCTTTTATCAGCCTGGGCGGATCACTTCCAGCATTTGACGAAGCTCCTGATAAGTCCTCGAGGCAACTTGGGAAAACCATCAACCTAAACCACCTGATTGCTCCGATTCATCCTGCAGCAGCATCTACTTCTCCCGCTTTACCACAAACCACTTCCTCACAACCAATAACCCTTGTCACCCGACTTGACGAATATCCGGATCACCTCGGTCTCCTATCCATCCTCCACGGTGCTGCTAGCTTCGGCGCTTAATTTCTACTCGAAACATCGCCATAATCCATAATGGCTGGCACACGGAATTACGATTTCCTGGTTAGTATTCACTTCAAAATCTAACAACCCCACACAGCCCTGACAGTGTTAACTTCGTCATAGATTAAACTGTTGTTGATCGGGGACTCGGGCGTTGGTAAATCATGTTGTCTACTGCGATTCAGCGAAGACTCCTTTACCCCATCATTCATCACTACAATCGGGATTGACTTCAAAATTCGTACGATCGAGTTGGACGGCAAGAGGGTGAAGTTGCAGATCTGGGACACTGCAGGCCAGGAGCGCTTTCGGACTATCACGACGGCATACTACCGAGGTGCCATGGGTATTCTGTTGGTCTACGACGTGACAGATGAACGATCATTCCAAAGTAGGACTCCTCCCCCTCTCCTAGTCCGCTAGATGTGCCTGACCTTTTTTCTTCTGCTTTCTTTAGACATCCGGACCTGGTTTTCAAACGTCGAGCAACATGCCAGTGAAGGTGTACACAAGATCCTCATCGGAAATAAGTGCGACTGGGAAGAGAAAAGGGCGGTTTCTACTGAACAAGGCCAGCAGCTCGCCGATGAACTTGGCATTCCCTTCCTCGAGGTTTCGGCCAAGAACAACATCAACATTGAGAAGGCGTTTTACAGCCTTGCATCGGATATCAAGAAAGGGATGGACACTTCCAAGACCGAACAATCTGGTTCTCAGGGCGTTAATATAGACCAGCAAGGCTCCGGTCCAAATGGCAACTCTGGGGGCAAGTGTTGTTAGTTGCTGTATCACCACTCTGTCTTTTGCCCATGATCTCCCCTGTCGTGTTTTAAGCTACCACATGTTTCTTATTTCCCCCCGCGCTTTATTCTTTTCCGTCAATATCTCGTTTTTGTTTTGCTCACTACATTATCATGTGCCAAGATCTGAATGTCCAAGTTTTATGCCTGAAGAGTTGGCGCCTATGGACATTCGAGTATCATACAAACCTGTCCATAACCTGTGATACCTTGACGTATTCTGTGCCTATACTTTATTTACCTCCTATATCTCATTGTACATTGTAAGTACTAGTATACATAGCTATAAGGTAGGTTGAATACAGCGATGTCCCAACCGGGTGACCCACTTTTCTTTAAATCTTTCCATTATTTCTCTTTTCACTTGGATCTTTTTTCCTTTGGATACTCTTCTTAATAGTTTTTTTTGTCTCCCTTTCCTTCTCGATAGACCAAATATTGAAGTCTTTATTTAACCAATTGGGGACAATCCTGTTCAATTTCACCGTTCCCGGAGTTGCCCCTCCTCCCCCCACCAAAAACTCTGGAATATTCGGACTGGATATTATTCTTTACGACTTTCGATATTAAGAGGTCTCATGCAGTAAAATCTTCGTCCATGATCTTCAGCTTCTAACATATTCGACACAGAAGAGAGAGAGAAAAAGACCACTACAAAAAAACAAGAGACAGGATTTCCGGGAATATCAACTTTCCTATTGCCAAACACGTCCAAGTCTTTTTTTTCATATCATGTCTGACGCCCGAAGTTTTACTGCTCGTCCATTGTCAAAGCAGCAGGCACGAAAGGACTTCAAAGATGCATTTCGTGTCTATCTATCTTCCTCTTCGTTAGCTGCTCTAAGGCTTCAAACAGAGAGCATCTGCACGCTGAGGCAAGCCGATGGGCCGCCGCAGACTGCCATAGCATGGTATGCGTCAGAGAACATCCAGAGCACAGTTATGCAAATATCAAGGACACTGCAGGAATGCTATGACATCAAGATCGGAGAGAAAGTTTCTATCACCAGGGCTGAAGGCTCCCTAGAAAACATCGACCTAGTGACATTGGAAGACTGTTCAGATCCCGAGAAAATTGCCAAACATGGCTCAATTTCAGAAAGTCACAGATCCCACTGGGAATGGGCCCTGGAAGAAAAGCTTCTCCGATGCGGGTGTTTGACGACGGGCTTGACTTTTGAGCTGGAGCTCAAGGGCCAACCCAGGAGTTTTCGAGTGGTTAACATACATTCACAGAACCCTCACTCTAGTCATACCCTTTTTCAATTCACAGAGGCCTCGAAGGTTTCCCTTGGGCCAGTCACAGAAAGAAAAGAAGAAAGGTCCTCAGGCATAGCGGTGCAATCCACTGGCCTTGGAGGCCTCTCCCGCCAGATTGATGACATCAATGAAAGCTTGTCTGATTACAATTTTGATCCGCGGAAGCCGGCGATGCCATCATTCTACGAGAACAGCCGAGGGATTTTACTCTATGGACCAAAGGGGACTGGAAAAACGAGTCTCCTAGAACAGATCGAGAAGGCTGGCTGGAAGCAAACATTCAGAATCGGCATGTCAACTTTGGGGCGAAGTATCAATGAGGGCGAGGTTAAGCTGCGCAATATCTTCCAGGAGGCGGCTCGCTCTAACCCCAGTGTGATCATCATCGACCAGTTGGAATTTATCGCCCCTAAGCGAACCTCGATCGAGTCTCAGTCCCTTGCATCTGTCCTTTGCGAGAATCTAGATGCTATCCGAAATACATCGATCCTCGTGGTGGCCGCAACGAGACACCCCAATCAAGTCGATGATGCCCTCAGAACGCCTCATCGACTTGGGACTGAAATTGAGATACAAGTCCCTACCGCTCAGGACCGAGCTGAAATACTACATGCCATTCGGGGGCCAGTATCTGCCGGTTTGACCGACGAGCTGGTAGAGCTACTAGCAGAAAAGACGCACGGATACGTTGGAGCCGACCTTTTCGCTCTTCTACAATTGGTCTGTCGCAAAGCCCGACAACGACAACTGTTGGGCCAAAATTCCACAGCCATACTGGCCAACCCGATCGACCCGTATAGCTCGCACCATGGAGGTTCCAGCGCTGATGAATTAACCATCTCATTGGAGATACAAGAATCAGATATTCTGCTTTCCTTGCAGGAGATTCGTCCCACAGCCATGCGGGAAGTATTCTTGGAAACCCCAAAGGTGAGATGGTCAGACATTGGTGGACAGCATGATATCAAAAAACGCCTCCAACAAGCCGTTGAGCGACCCTTGAAGGTAAGATCTGTATTCGAGTCCCAGAAAACCCTTGCCTTGAAAACTAATCTTCCTTTTAAACCTCTAGTATCCCCAACGGATGCGCAGACTTAACGTGAATAGTAAAAAGGGTGTTTTACTTTATGGGCCGCCAGGTTGTTCCAAGACACTGACTGTCAAAGCCCTAGCCACAGAGGCGGGGCTGAACTTCCTGGCAGTCAAAGGTGCAGAGATTCTCAGCATGTACGTTGGAGAGTCTGAGCGATCATTGAGAGAGATCTTCAGAAAGGCCCGAGCAGCACGACCAAGTATCATATTCTTCGATGAGATTGATGCCATTGCTGCTCGACGCAGCAGTAGTTCAGGAGGAGTCAATGTTCTTACAACTTTGCTAAACGAAATGGACGGTATTGAGGAGCTCCGAAACGTGTTGGTCATTGCTGCAACAAACAAGCCCGATGTCTTAGACCCTGCATTGATGCGACCTGGGCGATTGGACAATATTCTTTATATTGGCCCTCCGGACTTTGAGGCGCGCAGGGAAATACTGCGCATCTGGACCAATAAGTCTGTGGTGAACCCAGAAGTTGACTTGGATAATCTGGCATCTCTGACTGAGGGCTATTCTGGCGCCGAGATTGTGAGCATCTGTGAAACCGCCGGAGATGCAGCACTTGATGAGGAGGAGGAAACACAGCAGGAGCAAGATGTGCAGTGGAAACACTTTGAATATGCACTGGGACAAGTGCGGCGGCAAATCACGGATACCGTCATCCAAGAGTATGAGAGATGGAGAGAGGGCTAGAAGTAAATACCTACATATGTAGACTTTGCTGTATAATAAAAGTTATATAAGTTCTTGAAGTCAGTTAAAGTCATTTGAAGTTCATATAAAGTGTCCCTAGGTGATTACTGAATTAGGTTAGTGCCAAAATGTGTAATATCCCTTCCCTCAACCTCTCTTCTCTCTTTCTCTCTCTCCCCCCCCCCCCCCTTCTCTCTCTCTTTTGGCATAGTATTCCATCTCTTTTCAAATATCCTATTTCAATTGTCGGTCATCTAGAGCTGCTTACTCTACATATCCAATTTGTACCACTTGAAGCACTGGGATCCATTTGGCGCGCCGTGCGCTGAATCTTAAACATGTCTATGAGATCGCCTCGTGGACAATCGCCTCTACGTTCACCAGAGCAGGACCGAGAACGGTCGCGCTCTTTATATCATTCGAAACCCCGAAGCGAAAGCCCATCCCGAAGTCTTACCCGAAGTCCGTCACAAGGACGACGCGATCGCCATCGTTCAAAAACCCGATCCCGATCCCCGTCTCGTGGCAGAACCCGATCTCGCAGCCGCAGTCGAGGTGGTCGCCGTTACAATAGCCGGAGCGAAAGCCGCTCACTTACTCCCAACCCTAGCCCTCCGAGAAGTTCGAAGGTAAGTGCCAGTCTCTGTGATATGGCTGTCCACCACTGGCAGTGGCAGCCACCTATCTGTGAAGTTAAAGCTGATTTTCCCTCCATCTCAACAGATCGTGGTAGAAAAATTGACAAAAAATGTCACAGAAAATCACATCCGAGAAATCTTCGGGGGCTTTGGGGAGATAGAGTATCTCGATCTTCCGATCAACAAAGCTTGTAAGACTCGCTTTTGACTCGCGCCTCGAGATTTGTCTGTCTCCTAACACTCTTACAGTCATGACAAACAGGGGGACTGCGTATATCCTTTACTACGACCCCGCTGACGCGGAGGCAGCTATTGCCCACATGCACGAGGCTCAGCTTGATGGGGCCATCCTGAATGTCTCAATCGTTCTCCCTCGCCGCAAATTCTCACGCTCGCCACCCCCTGCGTCAATTCGAGGGAATGGCGGTCGCCCCAGATACGGTCGAGGACCATATGTAGGCCCGTCATCTCCGCCCAGACGGCACGGAGGCGGTCGACCTACAGAACGCCATGACATTTATAGGCCCCAGACTGCATCAAGATCACGATCTCCTGTTCGTTCTCGGTCATACTCCTCTCGATCTCGCTCACCACCGCCGCGCAGAGGTAGTCCTCGCACAGACTCGCGGCATCACCGACGCCGGAGCCCAAGCTACAGCAGTTATGGTTACAGCAGTCGAAGTCGCAGTCCAAACCGGAACCGGGGCCACAATCGAAATTAAACACCGAGAGTTTTGCGGTCTCTTGTCTTTGTGTATTGGTTCAGCCCTAGCGGGGGATTGCGCGTAATCTTCGGTGCGGGCAACTGAATTTCCCTCGCAAGATATCCAGAGTAGCTAGTTCTACGCAACAGCCAACAAATTCCATTGCCATTTTTAATGTAAGGATTACAAGATTTTGCAGCCCCCGTCTGGTAGTCAGTATGTATACATACTCAGTTGTTGAGAAGTAGGATATGATAGACCTTGTTAGGTAAAATATGAAATAGCGGTAGGAGCAAAGATAACAACAGGGGAGGATGGTAGAGCTACACTTTTTTATGCATGACTTAAATAAATTGTACCACCTCCAAGAGAGAAAAAAATCATCAGAAGAACGAACACCATCCGATGTACATTGACGCCAGTTTCTTCTTATCCGTTGCTTGTATGATCAATTCATCCACCTGACCATCCACCGAAAGTGCAATGGGCTGCTTAGACATGAAGCCACGGAGTTTGTTTCGAACATCTTCTAAAACGCCAGCCGGTGTATCCGGGACATTCACATGGGTGCGACGCTGGGGTAAAGAGACTTGTTAGGAGGTGACTTGTTGGGAACCGGAGTTGAAATGTACTCACTCTCTTCCCAATGAAATCGGTTGTTGGATCATGCAAAAATGTCTCGAGCACAGTCATCAAGGCATCCTCGTTTTGTCGCAGCAGGCTTAGCGTAATTTCACAGGTCCTTCTGAAGGGACCTATACCTTGGAGATTAGCGTAAGAGTAAAACTCGAGGATATCTTCAAACTAACCATTGTACCCGTAAGCGCCAAAGGCATCGATCATGTTATGAGTCAATCGGAATGGTACCACCTCGGGCTTTTCAAACGTTTGACCCTTGTCAAAGAGACAGTTGAAATCAACATGAAGGAGGCCGCCTGTTCCTTCTTCAAATGAAAGGTTTTCGCCATGTCGATCGCCCAGACTTTGTATAGAAAAGAAAACTGGTTAGCGGGATGCAACTCTAGGGAACTAGGCGAAAGCAGATAGAGAGCCCTCAAAACATTGAACGGCGGGAGAACATACCCAAGAACATATCCCACCATTGACATCACAGCCGAAGATCGTGTATACCTCAGTCTCGCTGTAAACCATGCCTCTGTTTCAGGAAACATCTCGATGAACCACTCATGAAGAACAGGCGGAAGCCTGTTACTGTCAGTATAGTGAACTCACGGGTGATGTTGACACGGAAGATTTACTTGGCCAGGATGTTAGTGGTGAATAAGGGCAACTTTGCGAATGATCGATCAGCGCAGATTTCGTTCAAATTATGCCTGATCTCGTTGTACTATTTCACACGTTAATAACACGGCCTGGGTATAGCGTTAGATGTGGTGTACCTACGTTTGGCGATATGCCTCTTTCGCGCAGCAACTTGATGATGATCTCTCTGAGTGTGCGGAGGTTATCAACCCATTCAATAAGACCACATTCCTCGTTTAGAGGCGTCACAGCGTATGTTTTGATGTCTGTTCCGGGTTAGCCATTGGAATGGCCCAAAGTTCAACGAATCACTTACACATGCGCCGCTTGCTTGATTCGACGTCTCTCTTTAGGAACCGGTTGATCATGTTGTTGAATTCCATGAGACGTTGATCCTTGCGCAAATCGTCTTTGGGCTTGCAAAGTGCGTTATAGATCTTCCCATCAGATCCTCGCAGGCTAATCTTTCGTGGCTTTTGGAGCGAGTTCAAAATCTGTGCTTCATCCAAAACAGCTAATTTCGGTTAGTTTGTCTTTGCGGGAATAGGAAGTTGATAACCGTACCCTCAATGGTTGTTGGATCCCGAGGGAAGGCCCTAAAGCCTTTGATATATTCGATGTTCTGACTGGCAGGGAGACTGGGGATCAACATTGCCTGGAAAGGCACCACCAATCGGCATGGCGCAACTTTATGATTAAACCCTAGATTGCGGCCGAGTTGAACTCGAGATGACTTTTCCTCCACCGGAGCAAGGCAAAGTTGGAGTAGTTCCTCTGAGAACTTTGTACCTTGGGTGATCATGCGACGGATTTCAGACGCCGTTGAGGATTCTCCCTTTGACTTGTTACCGTAGTCCTGAACAAGTTAGTCTCTCGTACTCTGATTTAGGCAGACTCTGCTTACTATGATCTTCTGTAGGCAATTATATCCCCTTTTAGCTCGCTCCTTGTTGGAGGATTTGACAACGGCAAGGACTGTCCATAGACCTTGCTGTGGGAAGTTGTGAACCGCCTTTGCTACAATCCGCGTCAACAGATCATAGACTGTGATGTTAGGGTGACAGATCCTGGCAACCACTTGGGGTAGGATTGTGAACAACTACAACTGTCAGCTAGCTATCCGGGAAAATCACATCTCGTAAACCCACCAGAGCCGCTTGCAAGCGTTTATCGATGAATTTCTTCAGTTGTGCATGCATCTCATCGAGGCTCTTCTTTCGTTGCGCTTGTGTATGCTTTTGAAATTCCCTAGTGTGTGGCGAATCGATCATTAGCAAATGTTTACCAATGACCACACCGGTAAACGTTCTCTTACTCGTTATCACCTCTCTTCGGATCAATGGGCTGTTCAACAATCGAGGCATGTTCAAGCCAGAGGGTCAGAAGCTTGGGTAAAGTCTGGAAGACATATTTGGTCCCATATGTCAGCGAGCGAAGATAATTGTCAATGACAAGCTTTGTGGCTTCTCCACTCAAGCTGTGCAATATTAGTCAGTGTCAGGTAAGGAATGGGAAGTCTGATCAACTGACTATATCTGTGCTTCCTTTCCCATCGGCTTGGCCTTCTCAGACTCCAAAATTTTATTGTAATGCTTCCCCAGGTAATAGTGTGCCCTTTCCCACCTGTTTGCCCATTAGAACTGACCGTGTCAAAGTGGTGGTAGTCCAACTTACTTTGGATACAGCTTGATGGCCTCTCGATATCTCTGGACAATGGCCTGAGAGTGGGTCTGACCAGCCCTGTCCGTCCATTTGGCTAGCATCAGATGAGCCTAGATAGGTCAGTATTCTAGTCCATGTGAACTGTGCTGTGCAACTTACGAGAGCAGTAGACTCATTTTGATGCTGCCCACGACCCGAGAGAAACGACATAGCTTCAATTTCAACCGAAGAAGATGTACTGGGGGTAACTTCGTTAGCAGAAATCGCACCCTCTAGAGTCTGAATGGCTTTTCGATGGTGTCCATCTTTCCAGAGGAGTCGGGCGTGTTCTATGGAAGCAGATCTATCTTTCAACCGTGCTGCATTGAGCATTGAGTGATACGCTTGACTGCTGAAATTGCCTTTCCTTGAAAGACGAGCACTGGTGAGCCATGCAGCGGATATATCAGAATCCGCAAACTCGCCCCTGTATCGTACTTTTAGCTATCTGTCTCGTCTTTTGTGGATCGTCAACTCACGCTAGCTCCATTGTGGCTCGTCTCAATCCCAATAGGTATTGTTTATCGGAAAGGTAGCCACCCAAAACATCCAACCGTCGGTCTAGGGCACCCAGCAAGCCCGGGCGCGATTGACCTGATTGTGCTTTGGCAATGGATTCGACCTCCGACAAGGCATGTAACCGGAGCATGTCATTATGGCATGCTTGTAGAGATGCCACCGAATTTGTGGTTAGTGATCGGGCAACGTTGAGCCTGAGCTCGTTGATTTTATCAGTAAATGACTCGTCTTGCTTTTGACGAAGAGCATCAAGGGCCGAGCCTATCCCAACATTGAACTCTTCAGTTCCTTGTTTGGCACAAAGGTCAAGATAACCCTCTAGCTTGTCCCATCTGCTCATTATCCATGAAGCTTCAACCGCAAAGGGCAGGAACCGCGAAGCCGCCGACTCATTTTCTTTGAGAACCTCGAAACGAGTGAGAATAGCATCTATATAACGGTGAGCAAGAAGATAGCGCATGTAAAAAATGTCTCATGTTTGATCTTACCTTGTTGGCCAGATTCTTTGAGACAGGTCACAAGATTCCATTGCGCATCGACATTGTCAGGTTCCTTCTCCAGTTGTAGCTCGTACCAACTCTGCGCCGTGGCCCATCTCCCAGCTTTCCGGTGCTCAAGGATCTGCTGGTCAATGTCTAGCGCGGACAAGTGGCTTGAGATGCCTTCAATCCCATCGGGTTCGTCAATCTGGCTATAGATGTCTTGTAACCTTTGGTATAGAGGCTCGAGGCTGGACCTCTCTTGTGATTCTCCGTGGACCTTGGATTTTCGAATGTACTGTTCCCAATGGAAAAGTGCTTTGGAGAATGATTTACATTCAACAGCTCGCTTAGAGATGATCTCTGGCGGTATTGAGGATAAGAGATTTTCGACAGACTTGATCTGCGATGAGTATTTATCAATGAGCGCGTCACGGCTTTGATCTTTATGGGAACGACTCGTTTGGTTGGAATTGTGATTGAGGCCATTGAGATGCTTTTTCTTTCCTTGCAGCCATCGAGACAGGTAGTCTAGCACTTCAAAAACGCTCTATCATCGAAGAAAGTGTCATTGTCAGTACTAGGAAAGCCAGTTCAATTCCACGGGGATTCTCACCTGGCTACTGCTTATGATCGTCTCGCGAGCATTGTTGTTTGTCTCCGGAATAGGATGTGAAAGAACGCTCATCAATTCGTGCTGAAGATTTTGTTGTTCTTGTTCAGTCCCTCCCACGATGCGGTTCAGGACCGCAAATGGCAAAAGGAACGAAGAGATGGAAATGTCTTGGCCCTTCACAACACGACTCGATATTGAGAAGACCATTTTTGCGTTGTCTCCATTCCCAGTTTGTAAAAGATCTTGCACCAATGTTCGAAGCCACTCACTGTGAGTCAATTTAGGGGAAAAGAGCGGATAGTCGACCTCAGTATGATTGGTCACAACAGTGACCGTATAGGTAGATGTAAGAAATGGCGTGAGAGTGTTGCGAACACTTTCCGGAAGCTCCATCCAGCGTTGATATTTCTCATCGCCTTGCAAATCGCGAGAGCGTTGGGTCAATACCGCATTCAATTTGCAAAATTTGAGCAGGCCTTGCATGGCCCATGCAAGAAAACCCTGAGCCCTAGTATTGGAAGCAGACAAGAATGCATCAACCAAAACGTGTTGGAGGAAGAAAAGAATGAATGCGACTGTTTCTTCCATTCTGTCAAAGTTGGACAAGACAAGTATATCCTTCTTCTCTTTGATTGTTTCGACTCGGTTTGGATCGAGACAGCCGACAAGCCCTAGACATCGAGCTGACAATAAAGTAATGGTGTCTGAGGTGGTACTGAACTTAACACAGCAGTCCAGTAATGACCTAGTTAGCTGAGCAATCACAGGGTCTGGTTGTTCACTCAGAACAGAGTCATGGAGAAACTCCTCATTTGCTGACAGAAAAGGGGCCAACTCCATTAGAGCTTGTTCAACAACGGTGGCATTTTCACTCTGGCAGCGACGAATTAACGCCAGAAACTGACTTCGAACGTCCATTTGGGCTCTCATGTCATTGATTTTGGCATCAAAGGCAGCCATCTCTGGAATGGATGCAAGGGAAGGCATGGTGTTGAAAGTATCTCGCACAAGACTCGAGTGATTCGTCAAAATATAATCGATGAGTTGACATGCGCGGTTCCTGCTATCTTCGGTCAGGTTATCCCAATATCTGATCACAATCGCTAGCGTTTGATCAATTATTGGCTCAAGGTCCTCTTCGCTAAGAGAGCTGATCAATGTCTTCCACGCAGAGAATGCATAATCACACAGTTCTTCGATCTCCAGCGCGGATCGAAGGCATGCACAAACCTGCGATGTTTAGTTACTAAAATTGACCGATTTGCAAGGCTGTATACATACTTGAGGCAATGCACTGCTAACATGACCCTGGGCGATATTGATCATCTCTTCAATGGCTTTGATGTTTCTTCTCTTCTCTGCCAAAGTTTGTCTCACTTGGAAGTCATTAATGGCATTTGCGAATTGTGTGATAATACCGAGAACGTGCTCCTCGATGAAGTGACTTAGATCCGCTTTCTTCGACGAACTTCCATGTGCAATCTTTCGCGGAACAAAAGTGGCTAATCGATGGAGGGCTTGGTTGAACTGGAGGGACTATCATTAGCGGCGTAGAAGGGGTGGAAAGAAACAAGAACATACCCTCTCTTTCTTTTGCTCACCTGCATCGCCAAGGCTCTTCAGCAAGTCACAAGCAATGAGAATTGGTTCAATCCTCACCAACTCCGCCAAAGATCGACCCTTGAATGCGGGGTCTATATCTGCTAGAAGAGACATGATCATACCCTCCGGGTTGTCTGATTGCTGAGATAGAAGGAAAGCAAGGATTGCAGCCAGGTTATTCTTCTCGGAGCAAACATCAAAAGCAGACTCGCCTTCGTTGCGACTAGCCCCAATTCTGCAAATGATGTCTCGTTTTCGTGTCAAGACCAGGTAGGGCAAGACATGGACTTCTGTCAATCGTAGGAAACCATCAACCTTCATGCCAAGTAAATCACATAGCTGTTCAGCCATATACGGGCGAGATTGGAGGTTCTTGACCACAGTCACCGAAAGGGTCCTCCAGTAAGGCCGAAAGAGGCCAGCAGGTGTTAAGGAAAATTGCTGGGCAAGTTTGGATAGCTAAATTCAGAGGTAAGCTGTCACCATATCGGAAGTATAATGCTAGGGGTACTCACCTCGTTGTAAGCCACGGCGCAAATGTAGGGGTTTGGATGACCAAGGTACTCCAAGAGCCGAAGGAGAATGATGTTCTTCTCTTCATCTTCCGAGACACTATATACAACGAATCGTGAGATGAAGTAACGAGATTTTGGAAAGTAGAAACGCACGTTGCCAGCCCACAGAGTGTTATGATACAAGCTTCCTGTAACGGCATATCATTTTTTCCGGAGAGATTTTTAAGCCACTCAAGCACAACAACGAAATTGGCCCGACGGATATCTGTTGGTAGATTTGAGCGCACAAAAGCTACGACGGAATGTCTATATAATGGTCAGTATCCAGTGCCAGTGTGCCTTTAAGGACCATGGAACGCACCCAGTTGCAACACGCAATTCTCTGATTGAGCTCCGAAGCGAGTGAAGACAGAATTCTCCGGAGGCAGAGTTTGAAATATGCATTTGACTGGAGTTTGGAGCGTGCATCAAAATTCTTCTGAGTGCGACCATTGCAGATATCCGAGGACCGGGCGTGCGTGTAAGCCTGGGTAAGATGAAATTGAATAGTGACCATATCTCCTCAAATCCGGGATGCTCCTCATTTCCCGCACGATCATTCTGATATTGATCCGTATCACATGTTTGACAAAAGAGTGTCTCTCGTTTTATGACATCCGAGGGCTTCTTCAAAAGCTTCTCTGCCGTTGCACAGCAAATTTTGCCTAGGATGTCCAATAGCTCAGTTTTTTTAGATTCAGAAAGTTCCTCGTAGGATAGTCTTTTACACGGATAAATCAGCATTTCACACCTTGAGGGGTATCCATTGTCGACTCACTGGATGGAGGTGCGCAGATCTGCCATCGTTTTGCCACAGTCAGATTGCAGAATCGCTGATATATTCCCCACAAGCAAATGAAACAGGCCATCATTGGTAGATCCTGTTGGAAAACCTGGGAGACATAGCCGCTTCGGTGCCCGGGAATATTCATTCGGCTCCGCTTGGTGTAAAACCCCGGCTCTCTGAAATGCCGTATCTGACTCCTCGTAAACATCCCCTGGTGACCCGTTGGGTGAGCAGACTGTCAATGGCGGTGCTTTATCTAGAAGCTGGGCATGCAAGGTCTGAAGAGGACTCTAATCTAGTATTAGCTCGATAACCCGCCTGTGTTTGCCTGTGTTAGATATGAGAGAAAGCTTACCCATAGACACGACTCAAGGAGCTGGAGGCTGGAATTGCCATCTTTGACTTCTGTCAACACTGGAAGCAGGGTTTCCCTCAATTGCTGCATCAGAGGCTGAGAGGATTTTGCGGCGTCTGTCAAGTCACACAAGAAGCGACTTAGAATGACCTGAACAGAAGGCAATTTTCCTATATTCTCAAGGCTCAGAAAGCCACACAAGCATTGGGACCAAGTAGAAGTCAGGCTCATGTTTGAGAGCAGTCCAGCCAAAGTCGATTCAGGTACGCAACATCGGTGCAAATATGTCAGATATTGCAAAGGCACAGTTGCATCTTCGGAGGTGAGTCGCGCTCCTTTTATCTGCAGCCACTCGATAATGAGCTGTCTAAGGCGATGAAACCCATTCAATACCCACGAGAAGTTTTGGCGGAGGATGAAATCATGATGTTTGGCACGGGATTGCATTTCGCCCTTCGGATTGAACGAATCAAGCAATCGACAGGCCAGAGAAACAGTCTGGGTAAAGCCTCCAAGGGCCGTGTTGCTCTTGAATAATCCAGAGGAGAGACCTAGGTTTTGGGTGTCCTCAATAAGTGATCCATTTGCGGCGGGTATCGACAACCCTCTAAGGCGTGTATCCCAGGAATTGCTACGTTGAAATGTTTCAAGAGAGTACAAAATATCTAGGGAATGTTAATTTGGCCCATGGTTCTACATTATCGGGGGTAAGAAACGGACCTGACGTGCAAGCACGCAGAAATGCAGCAACGGCATAGCTTGCGGGCAATGAACGAGCTTGCTTGAACTGGGAATAAGCTAGGCTCGCGCAAAGAAGTTGGATCTTTTCTCGAATAGTTTCGGAGGTCCAGGTGGTGGCGAGTCGGATCAGTCGTAGGATTAGCCATGCGAATAGAGGGGCATGTATGTCCTCGCCCAGGATGAGAGGGTCCGAGGATTCCCACAGAGCCTTGGGGGCTTTCTCAATGCTGGCCTGAATAATGTCTAAACAGTCGAGGACTTGCCCTTCCAGATCTTGCCCTGATGTACTCCCGTTCGGGCTAATCTCTAGGCCGGCCTTTAAGACAATGCATATGAGTTTGTTGACATCTGTGACATCTTCGTCAACGCGTAGTTGACTTTGTATTTCACTCAGAAGTTCCTGGCGAAGCTGTGCAAATGTTTCCCGGGTTAGGTGTGATTCATTCCCCTGGGTTGCAAGATGCGGTACGAAACGCGAAGCAAGGATCGACGAGGCAGGTTCAGCTCTCCAAGCGTTCCCAGGCGCGGCGGCCCGTTCATTCTCTCCCTCGATTGCCATATGGGAGACACATGTTCATAGTACCAGGCTTAAAAAGTTCAGTTTCTTGTGTTTAAACAAGTTCCGAGTTTGGGTTGTGTTCGTGTGGGTGTTTGAACCTCGCAGATACGGAGAGAGTTGATATGTCGATTGACACCTGAGGCACCAGGCATCCAACATTGCATGCCATTCTGCGATAATATCAGAGTCTACATAAGTATGATTATTGAATCACGGTTTGCAATTCTATAAATTGGCCTCATACATGTCTCAATAAAGTTAAGTAAAGGGTTCATAGTAATTTATGCTGAGGTCTTCTACATATAAGGTGACTTAAATTTAGAACTCTCCACAGGACATGTATATATTATGTAGAAAATATAATAAAATAAATCGATAAAATTCAAAAATCAAGACATGTTATATGATCCAAGAGATCCAAGAGATCCAACAGAAATTCCAGGTATGTGAATATCCATATCATTTTGGACTTCGGATTGTGGCCCAGAGTTGGTCAACCTCACCTTGAAATTTCGGGTGCCACTGCTCTTTACCCTTTTCTGACTCCTTCACTTCCTCATTACCATGAGATACCTCACCAGTCACTGGAGTCAACTCAAAAAAGTCTAACATATACAGAGAAGAGAAATTTCGAATTGGCTATGGAGTTCAAGGGTGACTCCGTTGTGGCGGAGGATTCCAGACATGGATATTTCATGAAACAAGCCTTGTTGATGGTACGATACTTCTTGATGCCGGCGAATCGAAACATGCTCATTCAGATACCAGGGTGAGAAGGCTCTTGAGTCAGGCGAAACCCCCGTTGGCTGTGTTCTAGTGCACAACGATCAGATTGTGGGGTTTGGTATGAACGACACAAACAGATCTATGAATGTGGGTGACTTCTAAAGATCTCAATGCGTAGAAACCGCTGACAATTCTCCAGGGAACGAGGCATGCCGAGTTTATAGCGATTGCAGAGATGCTCCAAAGCTACCCTAGGTCAGCATTGCAATCTACTGATCTTTACGTTACGGTTGAACCCTGTGTGATGTGTGCTTCTGCCCTGAAGCAGTACCGCATCCGCAGTGTGTACTTTGGGTGCGCCAATGATCGATTTGGAGGCACTGGAGGTGTTCTTTCATTACATTCCGAGTCAGTACAACCCAAGAAACGCTGTCGACCGATCGTGCAAGGCTAATTGGATACAGCCACTCAATTGACCCATCATACCCTGTCTACGGTGGGTTGTTTAAGGAAGAAGCAATTATGTTGCTCCGCCGTTTCTATATACAGGAGAACGAAAAAGGTAGGAATTAGGACGCACAAACCCAAACATTGATTACCTGCTGATTACATGTCAGCTCCTAACCCCAGACCGAAAAAGAATCGAGAGTTGAACACCAGATTCAAAAATGGCAATGAAGAAGCGCCACCAACCTGGTAGGCCGCAAGGCTCGGATTCGGGGCGTCTCCAAACATCATTCTACTACGCAATACCCTCAGGGTTAGATTGAACCTGCTTCGGATACAACCGGGAAATAATTAGTTCCCAGGGCATCTCCATATAAATTTGAAAGTGTCAAGGTTGAACAGAACGGGAATCTGTATTGTGAATATTAATTGCGCCCCCAAAAACACACACAAAATCGGATATGTGTACAAATCTGCAACACTGAACGGAAAGGCTGCCCATATTTCTTGCTCTTTTTTTCTTTCTAGCTGATGGTGTGTATTCATGAAGAGCCAGTGCGCTCTGCCTCCAATTCCTGCTCGGCCTGCTGGTAGTATTTGGCAGTGTCCACGCCATGCTGATACAAACAATCAACATCATCCCTCTCAAATCGACTTGAATGGAGGACTTACCTGATCGTGGTTGACAAAGTTGAACCATGGGACAACATGGATGAAAAGTTCTGAGTACCGCGAGTTGCGGGCTGCCATACCTTGTAGATGAGACGACATTTGGGATTTACCATACAGAGGTTCACCCTTCTTGACCTTGTCGACCATCTCACGAGTATCCATTTCGACCTCTCTAGCATTCTCAGTGAAGCCGTAAAAGCGCTCTGTGAAGGTGTGAGTTAAGACGTGATCCAAAAAGCGAGCGAGGATTCAGGTGGAGGGATATGGCTTACGGCAGGATCGCTGATAGAGGACATGAAGACCGCCAAGCAGACCAACAGCTGTCGCGAGACGCATAACAGGAGCAAAGCCACCACGGCCTACATGCGACGGGCTTGCTCTCTCCATGATCCAGAACGAGATGGGAGCAGCCGAGGCCATTCCGCCAGCCACGGCCCAGTCGGAAGGCCGGGCATATCCGAACACCCGTTTCAAATGCCTGAAAAAGATGTGAGCTTGTGACAAAATCTTAGAATCCGGGGTAAAGCGTACGGGTCGGAATCGATCAACTGTGGGATATGTTAGCAAGAGACATACGCGAACGAGCGGGGACGGAAAAGTAGCAGCCCCGGTTCATGTTAGATTAATCATACCGGGTAATCAGTGTTAGCCCGCTTAGAGGGCACAATGGCTGTTTTGGTATCGGTCGCCATGTTGCTTGAAGTGTGGATGTGCAAGCATTCGAGGTTGAAGTTCTGGGAGTTGGAGGGAGAGGAGGACGAAGCTAACCTTATTGGGCCTAGCGCAAGTAAGGCGGACAAGAGGCCCGACAGCCAATCAGAGCGCAGATCACAGGCTACTCGCGTCACGCGTCAAGGCCGCATCTGATTGATTGACATGGGATTCCAACTTGGTATCTCATACGGATTACACGAAAAAGTTCAATTGCCCCAATCTAGGTGCCACCTTTTTTTGTTTTTTTGTTAACCCTCCAATTATCTGATCCTCTCAAATTGATCCTTGATACTATTGCACCTACTTTGTACAACAGTACCTGCGCGCGATTGGAGCTATGGCGAACGCGAACGTTTTAGAGCGAGGAAGCTCACCGACAGCGGGTGATTTGAACGATCTTTTTGATTATGACATTGGCTTGGATGAGATTATTCCAGATACCAATGCTCCCAATGCTAACAGCACCAAGGCCTCGGGAGCAGGGGACTCTGCACTTGGTTTGGGTCTTGATGAGGAAGTCAAAGTCACAAAGAAACGACAACCTGTGGCCAAACTAGATGAAGGCCGGTGAGTCTCATGTGCTACCTTCTTTTGATAGAAGTCTCTTTTTGTTTTGGGAGACCACTTGGGGCTGCAACAATGCTGACGAATAGGCTAGTTTACTCTCACAACTGGGCATACCCAAACTGCGACATACTGTCAGACAGAAGCTGAAATTCAAGGGCAAAGGACACGAGGTTCGTTCTCTTGTCTATCCAACAGACCCAAGACATAGCTAGTGTAACTGACTTGAGTTCGCTATAGTTCAAGGACGCCGCACGCCTGCTCAACTTTTACCAGCTATGGCTCGATGATCTATTTCCACGCGCAAAATTCGCAGACGGTCTGACAATGATTGAGAAACTGGGACACTCAAAACGCATTCAGGCCATGCGACGAGAATGGATAGACGAGGAGAAGCCGAGACTTTTCGATAGCTCTGGACCCACGCGAGAAGAGCTCGAAAATCACCACGTCCCCAAGAACCCTGCAGATTCCAATCATAACTCAGCCGCGATTATTCAAGACCAGGAAGAGGTTGCCGACCAAGATCTGTTTATTCCAGACCCAAACGAGAACGCGCGGCCCACAATCGGCTACCCCGAGCCTGAGCCGGAGGATGATGATTTGGAGGACCTTCTCAGAGAACAGGATGAGCCAATGACTGATTTCCCTCCCGACATGCGTGCCTCATCTTCACGGGCACCAGATGACGATAACGACGACTATGATGCTGAATATGAAGCGATGAAGGAACTTGGGTTGTAGTTGTGAACGCACCTTGTACGATAAATCTTAATGACAGCGATGAAATATGTTTAACCCCCGGGATAAGCCCGCTGACCCAGACCATACCTGTTTAATAAAATTACCTAGGCTATGTAACTATGGCTCAGCTAGGGATTGAACAACCGGATGCCGAATGGGTTCTAAAACAAGAATTACCAGGAAGAACACATTGGATCACATTAGAGAAAAAGAATTAATTTCAAATCACATGCTAACTGAGTAGAATAACTGGAGATTGCAAAGCAACTCTTCATGTACTGCTCTGGAAACGAGACAACACGTAGAAGGGAGAAAAAAGAGACATTAGATGTTACAATAAAGGATATGTCAATTGAATAGATTGACCTTACACGCTGGCAGGCTCTGTGAACACAGAGAACTGACCACCGGCACCTGCCCAGTTCAACTTCTTTCCACGAGTAGCAGTGTTGTCGATAACTGTAGCCACCTCCATGTCATCCTGTGTACCTTGTCCAGTTTGGTACGTAGCGGAGAAACCCCATGACCATGCACGGCCATCAGCATCGATAGCGAGAGAATGATCAGAGGCAGCCGCCACAACCTTGGCCTTGATGCCAGGAACGGGCGTGGGTGCGATGAGGATACGGGGGCGATCGCGCTCATCCTTGATAACGGCGTCATCGGAAAGTGTATCGATCTTCAGGCCGCTTTGGAAACCGTCGAGACGGCCCCAAACCAAGCAGTCACCATCGCCAGCAATGGCAACCGAGTGATGAGCGCCGCCGCAGATTTGGGTGATATTTTTGTCAGAAAGTGATTCGACAAGGGTGGGATGCACGATAGCTGCTTCATCGTCACCGGCGCCCTCGCGGAGGGCCGTTGCACCGAAGCTATTCAATCCCCAAGCATAGACATTGCCAGTGGTGTGGACAGCAAACGAGTGGTACGAGCCACTCCCGATGTGGACAATGTTCTTGGGAAGACCGAATTCTCGAGGCTGAAGACCATTCAATCTGTTGCGCTCCACGATCCTACGACCTAGCTGATTCTGTTGTCCTGAGCCCCACGAGTAGACACGACCTTGGTCGTTCAGGGCAAGAACGTGATTGGCTCCACAAGTCAGGTGTGTGATCTTCTTCAAAGACGAGATCAAAGTTGGGGTCGTTTGAACGTGAGAAGAGGCGTCGAATCCGAGGATTCCATCGTTGCTCTAGAATTGTTGTCAGTAAAAGAAATTCGATCCAAGGTAGTCAGATCATCTTACTCGGAAGGTGCCCCAGCCATAGACCAGACCATCATCGGTTAGGGCAAAGCTTGCACTATCAGCAGCGGCGACTTGAACGAAGACAGTGCCTTCAGGGAAAGCGGTGGCGGGGATAGCCGTGGGAATAGACTCCCGGGGGTTTAACCCGCTGTCTTCATCGTCGGAATCGGAATCGCTGTCGTTTTCAATGCCCTTATATCCACCGTCCCATTCGGTTTCTCTTCCGAGCGCACCCTGGTCGTTCACGCCCCAGGAGAAGATCTTGTTGTCATGGGTTAGAGCTAGACAGTGCATACCACCGACAGCAACCTGTACAACTCCGACCTCTTCGACAGACAGAAGCTTGTTCAAACGTGGGCGCTTCACATCGATAACATTCTTGGCTGTGCCCAAGCCCAGCTCACCAGAGCTACCCTCACCACAGACAAATACGTTCAGCTTTGTTTTCGGGGCCTCGTTGATGACAACTTTGGCTTTCGGCTTTGGCTGACGGGGTTTTGCGACACGGGATCTTTTGATTTCACGAGGTTTCTCCTCATCCTCGTCAGCTTTGCGCTTCTTCGTACCAGTGGTTGAGTTGGTAGACGTTGTCATTTTGCTTGGCTTTGCCGTCGACTTGGTAGATGTTGTAGTCGGCTTCGCAGTGGACTTTGTAGTGGACTTTGTAGTAGACTTGGCAGTGGACTTTGCATTGGGCTTTGCATTGGGCTTTGCGGTGGCCTTTGCGGTGGCCTTTGCAGCTGGCTTGGTAGATTCTTTCACTGGTTCGGTCTTCGTCACAGAGGCCTGTCTGGCGCTGGTGCGTACTCGAGTACTTCTCTTCACCGTCTCCGTCGAAGCCTCAACGGACTTGGACGTGTTCTTCTTAGGAGGCATTTTTGCCTTTGACTGGAGCTATTAGAAATAGCAAAGAATGAGAAAAGAACAGGGGGAGGAATGTTTGAAGCTAAGATTGAAAGAATAAAAGGGAAAAGGTATGTGAAAGGGTAAAAAAAAAAAAAAACCGGTGCCAAGCCAAAACATAAAAACATAGCACATTCTCTCCCCAGCCACTTTCAATGGGCTGATTTCATTGATATTTAGTATTCATTGATACTTTATTGATACTTTATTAAATGTTACGCGTTATTACGCGTGAATATATTTTCTTTATTGTTTTCTTTGTTTAATTTCGAATTGAAATAAAAAAATATTATAGAATTATCCCCCAATAGAGACGTCTGGAGGACAATAGACCTCAATGGGCTGTTTCTTCACGAATCTTTCCACACATAATCACATTTTGTCCCAATGGCATCCATTTAACATCTCGAGGATTCAATGCAGCATTGGGTGTACCCTCCTGATCTTGCTTCGAGTCAGGGCTGACATTTACTCCACCCCGGCCAAGGTAGGTGGGAGCAACTGTCACAATAATCGAGTCAATGAAGCTTGTGTACTCTGGGTTCAACAATTCACTTAGCACTGTACCACCACCCTCAATCATGACACTTTTAATGCCCTCCGATGCCAAGGCACGAAAGACGGCTTCCCAGCGTAATCGCCAGTGTTGATTGTATTCTACAATGCGGAGAAAATCGCCACCGTAGCCTTTGAGCATCACTAGTGTCTGGGGGTTGATTTGAGCTCCTGGGGATAACACAACCCATGGAGCTTTGCCTTTGCCTTCAACGGCAGTACGCAACATCCGGCATTCAGGATGAACAGGCCATCGGCCCATTGGATCAATGATCACTGGCCGTGGTTGCCACATTCTCCCCAGGCCTCCAAATCCACCGGCCCCTTCCAGACGGCAGTTCAGACCTGGATTATCTGCAAGAACAGTCCCTACTCCAACAAGAATGGCATCATGCCGGGAGCGAAGATAATGGGTCATCAATTTGGCCTCCGGTCCAGACAATACCGTCTGCATTCCTGGTTGAAGAGAGATCTTGGAGTCCATCGACGATGCGTATGACAATGTGACATGGGGGAACTCCCGGCGCTCCGAATGATTGGGAAGATAAGGCTGTAAGAAGTCTAGCGAAAATTGAGGGAATGATAGTGTGTCCGGGGGCAAAGCTGACGAGATCGAGGTTGGTTTTGTTTGGGAGGACACCTCGTTGACACCATCCGTGCTTTGAGTTTTAACAATACCATGACCCTTTTGGTATTCGTAGCCCTCGTGTGCGACCAGATTCACCTCTGGGTTTTGTATACGCCACTTGGCGGAGATGTTGCGGACATCCGTCACAGTGAAGAATCGCCCTCCAGCCTCCCCAAGCTTATCTGGTTCTTCTTGAAATTTGGTATAGATGGAAGAAGGGAGATATCCCTTCACAGATTCTTTGCGCGCGTACTCCATTAATCCCGAGTTCCGCTTCACTCGGTCGATGTAGTCGAGGTCATGTGAGTGGATGCTGCAACTTCCTGGCGTTCTGGCGATAGTGACGGTCGAGTAAGCGCCTTCGAACCGGACAACCTTGATTTGAAAGTTACAGATGCCTCCCTCTCGGACTCGCTTTTTACGAGGGCGCTTGCCCTCTGGTAAGGGGCGAGTTTCAGATGTGCGGTGTGTTGGACGTCGTAAACGGCACATGTAATAGTCGGTGGTGCAATGACCCTCTTTGCTCGCATTTGATCTTTGTTTGACCCATACATTATCAATAAAAGGCCAATATGTTTCAAACTCTTCGAGACTGATTTCTATCGAGTCCTTGCACTCGAATAGGACCTTGCGTATGCGCGCTAAGTTCGGTGGATTGTTGAAAAGGCTGGGGGTAGCCTTTGCGCCTTGACTGGTTGATGCGCTGCTGCTGCTGTGAGCGTCTCCATCTCCGATGGTCGCACCGCGCTGTATTGACTCGTTCTCATCACCGTGTAATGCTTGTTTATCAAGGGCACCGGATAGATTGATCGGGGTTGTGGTTTCGGGCAGGTCTTCATCCATCGCGTCTCGTGTATCGCAGGCCCGTTCGATCTCTTGCTCTGTTCCCAAAACGTCTTTCGCCTGCACAGAAACTCCATTGTGCGGGGATCCCGCCTCACTGCCAGAAGCCTCTAAGCTCGAGACGGAGGCATTAGAGACATGGTCCATCCTGGGGAAGCGTGGCAGAATACAGGTATAGCTCCGTATTCCCAGCTATGGCGATAAAATGGCCATTTTACTGGGGAGTAGCCCCAGATAGACACAGATATACGATACAGAGCAAAGTGTCGGAGTAGGAGCCTCGGGAAGAACTTAGTGGGGCGGAAGCATGAAGGCCCGGACATATTGCCCACATGTACACGTTCTGAGGTCCACGAGAATTCCCCCCCCCCAAGAGCTGGTTATACTAGTAGTACCTACATGTAGGTATCTACCAGGGGAAAATAGTCCACTGCACTGGATTTAGTCTTAGAATCCAAATATGAATCATTAGGAAGATTGATCATTGCATTTTCCTTTCGATTGTATTATCAGAGACCATTAAGCACAGAAAAAGTATCTCAGTATCTCAGAATCTCAAATCACATCTAATATGCCCCGATATCCGCCCCAGCACGAGCCAGAGTCTCATAGACTCGTGGCGGCAATTTGTACTTGACCATTCCGGAGAAGACCATGAGATCCTTGGCCATGACAAGCAAAGAATCCGCCAATCCCTGGCGCACTTCACTGTCGTACATACCAAAGGTGCGCTTTTGGCGTTCATAGCCAATACATGTGATGCTCCACATGATGACAGGCCCGACGTTGCGTGTAATGATGGGTGGCAAAGACGAGAAAGCTTGG